AAGGAGTTCTCTGTGAGAACTTTACCCCATGAAAGAGAATTTCTATATAGGTCCACGGTATCGTATAGTCCCCATATAATGGCATCCCCCGAGATTCGGTATTTTGATGATTTCAGCCCCAGTTTTTAATGGAATTGTCTGAAATTCTACACTAGGAGTTCTCTGTGAACACTTTACCCCCTGAAGGAGAATTGTCCGTATAGGTCCACGATATCGTATAGCCCCCATACACTGATGCCCTCCATATTGGGTATGTTGAAGATTTTAGCCATATTTTTCAATGGAATTGGCACAAAATCTACACAAGAAATTCCTTGTGAGTACTTTACCCCCGGGGAGAGAATTTTGTGTATAGGTCTACGTTTTAGTATTGCACCCATATAACGTTACCTCGACATATTCTCTATTTCTAAGATTTTCGTATTTGAAGTTCGAAATGGATACTACAGCCTGTGACGGAAAATTGTTTATACAGGTCCAGGCTCTTAAATTTCGGTGTATCCCTATATTTTATATTTTTGTAATGGATACTACAGCATATGACATAAAATTGTCTGTGTAGGTCCATGTCTTAGTATAGCCGCCATACAACGGTACTTCCCTTTATTCGGTATTTTGATGATATTAGCGACATTATTTACCGGAATTTCGTCAAATTTCGTAACTAATGTTCGCACTCGTTTCTTCAGGCTATGACAAAAAATTCTTAACCAGCATCACGTCTTCGTATAGCCCCATATATAGAGGTTTTCATTTGAGCGGTATTTTTCGACGGATTTTTTTTTTTGAAATTTTCAAGTTCCTTCCATGGTGGAAAGTATAAAAATTTTGGTCGGGCCAAACTTAGCTGCGTTTTTACTTGTTGTTTTTAGAGTTCGCAAAAGATATAATTTCTCTCTCCAAAGAAGAAATGCAGGTCTCAGTCGTATTGCTCGACAGAATTTATTGTTATATGACATTGCAGGTTGCTAGAAGTTAAAAACTCATCATGTAAATGCTAATAGACAATATAGGTGACAATATAGACAATGTGGTGACATACCCTGTCTTTATTTTTATACCATCAGTCTAGCGGCTAAAAAGTGTATATATCATTTGATACGGCCAAACGTGCCTCATCGAAATAACGGGTTTAGACCCTAGGTCTATTTGGACTAAATCTTTTTCAGAACATTTGGGATTGATCTAGAGATATTCTGTCTGTCCGTCTGGCTGGCTAGTGCGAACGAAAGGAGTATCCGATTTGGTCAACATATTTTTATTGTTTCAAGGTCTGGGGTGAAGATGACCACCACGAAGGGTCAATAATTTGAACATTCATGAAGCTCATAAAACACGAAAATAAAATCCGATTCCATTCAGACTTGGTACATCTCAATATTTCCATCAACACAAGATCTGTTATAAAGATAGTAGAGATCGGGCCATTCCTTCACTTACCTCCCCCAGAAAGATTCAAAATTTTGAATAACCAAAACAATAATAAAATCCGAACATATCGGTCCACACCATCATGTACCTCCCCCACAAAATTTTGAATAATTATAACTCTTATAAAATGTGATGCCAGAGTCCGATGGTCTTCCAACGACCCACATCACAATACTTTTATTAACCCAAGGTCTAGTATGAAATTGAAATATGTCGGTAAACTCCTTCTGGTACCTCCCCCACAAAGGGGGGGAAAAAGCGAAATTAACATCCGATTCTATTCAGACTTGATACATCTCAATATGCCCATCAACGCAAGATCTGTTATAAAGATAGTAGAGAACGGACCATTTCTGTAGTTTATAATTGGTACTCGGGTAGTTGATGTGAAGTGTAAAGGTCGGCCGTCGAATGTTGACAAATGAGGAAGATCAGGAATTAATATGTTAGATGTTCGGGATGGCGATTTAAAAGTAATTGGGACTTTAATCGGAAAGGTAATCGGGAAGTTATAGTGGTCGATTGTCGACGGATTGAATGTAATCAGGAATTACGATATTTGTGTTCAGGGTGACATCTGCTTTCGGGATGTTGACGATTTGAAGATAATCAAGAACTTCAATGATTGGTAATCGAGCTAACGATTGGTTGATAATCGGAGTTTACGATGTAGGTGGTTGGGATGTTGATGTACAGATTTTCGGAGACGGGTTGGGAACTCATATTAAAATCGGTGCCGTACTGCTTTTTTGGTCATAACCCCATAATTAATAGGGACCAAAAAAAAAATCGGTCATAATTTCAGAAAATTGCAGACATAGTTCCCATAATATTGGGAATTGTGTCCAAAACGATTGCTGGCATAAACCCCATTATAGGGAAAGTACTTTTAACCGGATTACGGCCAAATATTTTTCTCGTAAGGGAAATACCCGCTTATTCGAACCGAAAATTCGAATACAAACATTTTCTGGTTTCACAAAACTAATATGTACAAAATTGGTTTCATTGGAAGCTTCTACTTAACCAAATAGTGGTAATATGTTGGGGTTGTTTGACCCGTTTCCGGAGCAATACAAGAAAATTGGTATTTATGGACCGGAACTTTTTGAAACACCCCAAAATTTTCGAAAATGGAACCCTAATAAGGTACTAAGATCTACATACTACTGTATAGACTACACTCTTACTCTTCCAAAATGATGCCAAATGTGATATCTTGTAGTTCCGAAGATCTTTTAAAATGGTCGAGGGTTTGTTCGGGTTGTGTGAATATGCTCGGGTGCTGATCTCTAGGCCTTTACAGATGGATCGGAACTCGCTTGGGTTTGGCGGTTTACTGTAAATAATCTCAGGAGCCGATGGATATGCCTTTGCAGATGAATCGAAAGTCGATCGGCAGCTCACTGTAGGTATATTGGGGTTAAGTTTTTTTGGGTAGACGACATAAATACGAAACTGGCTAAGAACCCATTCTACTATTTCTATACCATGATATGATACGGTACAAAGAGCCAAAGCTCCTACGAACAACAAGCCGAAGGTCCTACGGAAAATCGACGTGAAGCTCCTGCGAATCTGCGAGACACATTACTTGAAATAGCCCAGCCATTTGACAGTATTCCCCGATATTTCGAATGCTGCAGATATGTTTCAGTTCCGATGTTCAAACGAATTGGCTGTAATTTGTTGTTTACAGGGTGAGATGAAAAAACTGCAACCAACTTCAGACTGCTGTCATTTCCAAGCCACTCATCTGACAGCTGTTGAAATTATTCCAGTGACAGCTTATTATATTGTTTACAAGCGTAAATAAGCATTTTGGTGAGAATTTTCAAAAAAAAAAAATGTTATTCGTGATGGAATTCAAGCGGGATAGTGTGATTTCTTAATATTTGGCTGGAAAACCACAAATGGCTTTCGTTAGGGCACTCCAGCATTTAAATGTGAATAAATCGTTTGTGTCTCGTACCATCGCTCGCTACCGTGATACTGGTGGCGTAGTCCGACGTCAAGGAAGTGGACGGAAGAAAACAGCAACATCAGTAGAAATGGTTCGAAAAGCAAAGAAGCGACTTGGTCGAGACCCTCGTTGCAGTGGCTGAAAAATGGCTCGTGAGCTGAACATATCGCAATATTCCATTTGGAAAATTTTGAAAAATGAGCTCAGGGTGAAGCCATTGAAATTCCAATTCCAAAAAGTGCAAGAACTTACACCGCAACAGAAAGAAAATAGACTCAAAAGAGCTAAAGAGTTACTTCGCTTGGCCGAAAGTGGTGAACTGCCGAATTTGGTTTTCTGCGATGAGAAAACATTCGTTGTCCAGCAGTTTGTAAACAAACAAAATGATGACTTGCCAAAGAGGTCAGCTGAAAATGTGCATCTTCGGTTGGCCACCACAACTCAAACGCCGACCATGGTGATGGTGTGGGCCGCCATAACAGCAGATGGTCGCTCTCCGCTCGTATTAATCGACCGTGGCATCAGAATAAATGCCAAATATTATCGCGAAAATATTCTGGAGGGTGTATTAAAACCTTGGGCACGGAAATGTTTTGGCCGTAGACCTTGAAGATTCCAACAGGACTCAGCACCATCGTACTCAGCACGCGCCACCCAAAAATAGTTCCAAAATGAGGTTCCTCGCTTCATTTCCAGCACACAATGAAATAATAAAATAAAACACAATAAAAGCTCCGGATACCAATCCGTTGGTCCATTGTGTCTGGAGTATTTTGGAAAGAAAGGTTGGTACTAAAAATACCAAGGTGTCGATCACCTCAAGCAAGCGCTTCGCTGGAAATGTGCCAAAATACCGCAGAGAACATTGGTGCATCATGTGGCGGTTTCATTGGCCGTTTGAAGGCCATAATTCGTGCCAAAGGCGACCAATTCGAAGAAATCTAAACCTATTCTAAAATTTGATGATATTTCCGAAATTTTTGCTTTCATTCAATAAAATTTAAAAATAAAATGTAAAAATTATGGCTTTTGACTTTGTTGCAGTTTTTTTAATCTCACCCTGCATATTCGAGTTATATTATTGGGGTAGACGACCCAAATAGGAAACTAGCCAGTTTCTAACTATTTTGCTATTTTCTAATATTTCTATAGCTATGATACGATGCGAAACTCCTGCAACAGCAAGACACATTATTTACAATAGTGCAGTCATTTGACGGTATCCCCCGATACTTGGAATGCCGCAGATATTCAGTTTCAGTTCCAATGTTCAAAATAATTGGCTGTAATTTGTTGTTTCGGACCCATTTTAATAAGAATTTAGCCAAAGAAATAATTCCAATGTTAATGCCGAATTTACCGCCTGACTCAAATAGCGGTGCCGAAAGATTTTAGATATTTTCAATTTCTTGAAATTGGTTTTTTATTGGTTTTCAGAACAAATAGGCCTTACTGTTCGTAGGTTCTAAAAATTTAGTTTTTTGCACTTTTTGCTTTGTCGATAACTATTGTTTTCATTTAAATTTTAAATGGGTATATTTTCGCATATATCGAACTTCGTAATTCTCCTCTTCCATTGATCTCAAATATAGCCCTTATAACTTACCCGATATTATCATATCCCCTCTTTCTGTGGTCCAGTAATTGATGGAAGCTGGATAGGCTTCGGTATGACATTCCAATGTTACATCTTGACCAATGTAGGCTCCTTCCAGTTGATTGGGTATGGAGAGCATGGGAGGAACTGTAAATGAATTGCAGAAAAAAATTAAACAAAAATAGACATGGTATATATCTAGACTATATTGATATGTATATAACAAACAATAAAAACAACAAAAAATACAAGAAAAACAAAAAAAACTACTATTAATTGAAAATATCTGTTTTCGTCATTTCATTACTTTGGGGTTTTCCCAGCAGTTTGTTTTTTTCTGCAAACGTTTCAATTTACTATTCGATTTTGATTTGGTATGCTACTCCTACTCCCTCTTCCTCTCTCCCCACTTGGCAATAAGAAACAATTAATAGTTTTGTGTTACGTTTTATTTTTTGTTGCTGTTGCTGTTGCTGCTGCTACTTCGATTTCTGTTTATTTCATTCAATTCCTTTCAATTTGTATAAATAAATTTCATTTGAAACAAAAAAATAACTAATTCCATTAGAGACTTGGAGAGAGCGAGAGAGAGAGAATGAGAGCAACTACATATGCAATAGAATATAAAACTGTATCAATTGTCCTGTCATTGCCAGACAGACAATAACAACAACGGCAAACAGCCACAAGGAAAATAAAAACCTAGTCATTTTCAGAAGAAACAATTGATTTGAAATAAAAAATAGTTGGGAAGGAAAAATCTAATTTTTTAGTCTGGATTTTGTTCTGTCAGCATAACTAATGAAATATGATAGTTGTGTATAAATGCAAAAAGATTTGAAAGTTCTCAGGAAATTGCCAAAATAATTTATTATTTTCAAATCAACAACAAATGTTAAATTTTTAAAGATTTTATCAACTGCCTTGAAATCCTTAAAAAAATAGATATTTGGAAGTCTACGAAAATGTTATTTGAATTCTTGAAAAATCCACATTTGAAAGGATTTGTAAATAGACCTTGAATACTTGAAGAATATCCAAGTTTGGAAGTCTCTATATTTGTCCTTGGAATCCTTAAAAAATCCATATTTAATAATCTTTAGAATTGTCTTGGAATCCTTTAAAAAATCCAGGTTTGGAAGTCCTTAGAATTGTCCATAGAAACCTTTAAAGAAAGCTAGGTTTGAGTCTTTAGAATTTACCTTATAATCCTTAAATAAATTCAGCCTTGGAAGTTTTTAGAATTGTCCTCGAAATTCTTTAAAAAATCTAGGTTTGGAAGTCATTACAATTGTCTTTGGAATCTTTTAAAATATCCAGGTTTAGAAGTCTTCAGAATTGTACTTGGAATTATTTAAAAATGCAGACTAAGGAGCCTTTAAAAAATATATGTTTGGCAATCTTTAGAATTTTTCTTGAAAAATTCCTTAAGAAAATTCAGATGGTAAGAATTTATAATTGTCCTTGGAATTCTTTGCAATTTTGGAAGTCTTTATAATTGCCTACGGATACTTTAAAAATTCAAGTTTAGAATTGTCTTTGGAATCCTTTAAACATTTATGTTTGGTAGTCTTTATAAATGTCCTCAGAATCTTTTACAAGATTTAGGTGGAAAGTCTATATAAATATTTTGGGAATCCTTAAAAATCCACTCTTAAAAGTCTCCATAAATCTTCTTGAAATCCTTTAAAAATCCTAGTTTGCAAGTCTTAATAAATGTCCTTACAATCATTTAAATGTTAATGTTTAGATTGACTTGGAATCCTTTAAAAAATCTAGGTTTGAAAGTCTCTAAAATTGTTTTTTGTAATTCTTTAAAAAAAATACAGGACTAGAAGTTCTTATAAATGTCCCTTGAATCCTCTAAAAAAATCCACGTTTGAAAATCTTTATAAATGGCTTTAGAAACCTTTACAAAATCCACGTTTGGGAGCCTATATAAATAGCTTTGGAATCCTTTAAAAATCCTTTTAAATGCTATTGGAAACCTTTAAAAAATCCACGCTTGGGAGTCTATATAAATAGCTTTAGAAACCTTTAAAAAATCCACGTTTGAAAATCCTTTGGAAGTCTTTATAAATGGCTTTAGAATCCTTTAAAAAATCCACGTTTGGAAGTCTTTATAAATGGCCTTAGCATCCTTTAAAAAATCAACGTTAGGATGTCTTTTTAGTGGCCTTAGAATCTTTTGAAAAATCTACGTTTGGGAGCCTTTATAAATGTCCTTGGAATCCTTTAAAAATCTACGTTTGAAAGTCCTTATATGTGACCTTGGAATCCTTAAAATGTCCATGTTCGGAAGTCGTTATATTTGTCCTTGGAATCCCTTAAAAAATCCACGCTTGAAAGACCTTATATATGTTCTTAGATCCTTAAAAAAATCACAATTTAAAAGACCTTATAGTTGTCCTTGGTATCCTTTAAGAAGTCCTCGTTTGAAAGTCCTTATAAATGTCCTTGAAATTCTGTAAAAAGTAGTTTCTTTAAGTCTTTTTTAAATGTCCGTGGAATCCTTTAAACAATCCTTGTTTGAAAGTCCTTATAAATGTCCTTGGAATCCACTGAAAAATCCAGGCTTAGGAGTCTTTTTAATTGGAATCCTTTTTAATTGTCCTTGGTATCTTTTAGAATATTCTGGTAGGAAGTCTTTATAAATGTCCTTTAAAAACCCAACTAGAAAAGTCTTTAAAAATATCCTTGAAATTCTTTAAAAAATCCTTGTTTGAAAGTCTTTGTAAAAATCCTCGTTTGAATGACCTAAGAATCCTTTAAAAAATCCAGGGTTGATAATCCTAAGAATCCTTTAAAAAATCCAGGGTTGATAATCCTAAGAATCCTTTAAAAAATCCAGGGTTGATAATCCTAAGAATCCTTTAAAAAATCCACGTTTGTTTGGCCTTTGGATCCTTTAAAAAATCCACGTTTGTTTGGCCTTTGGATCCTTTAAAAAATCCACGTTTGTTTGGCCTTTGGATCCTTTAAAAAATCCACGTTTGTTTGGCCTTTGGATCCTTTAAAAAATCCACGTTTGTTTGGCCTTTGGATCCTTTAAAAAAATCCACGTTTGTTTGGCCTTTGGATCCTTTAAAAAATCCTCGTTTGTTTGGCCTTTGGATACTTTAAAAAAATCCACGTTTGTTTGGCCTTTGGATCCTTTAAAAAAATCCACGTTAGTTTGGCCTTTGGATCCTTTAAAAAAATCCACGTTTGTTTGGCCTAAGAATCCTTTAAAAAATCCACGTTTGTTTGGCCTTTGGATCCTTTAAAAAATCCACGTTTGTTTGGCCTTTGGATCCTTTAAAAAAATCCACGTTTGTTTGGCCTTTGGATCCTTTAAAAAAATCCACGTTTGTTTGGCCTTTGGATCCTTTAAAAAAATCCACGTTTGTTTGGCCTAAGAATCCTTTAAAAAATCCACGTTTGTTTGGCCTTTGGATCCTTTAAAAAATCCACGTTTGTTTGGCCTTTGGATCCTTTAAAAAAATCCACGTTTGTTTGGCCTTTGGATCCTTTAAAAAAATCCACGTTTGTTTGGCCTAAGAATCCTTTAAAAAATCCACGTTTGTTTGGCCTTTGGATCCTTTAAAAAATCCACGTTTGTTTGGCCTTTGGATCCTTTAAAAAATCCACGTTTGTTTGGCCTTTGGATCCTTTAAAAAATCCACGTTTGTTTGGCCTTTGGATCCTTTAAAAAATCCACGTTTGTTTGGCCTTTGGATCCTAAAAAAAATCCACATTTGTTTGGCCTTTGGATCCTTTAAAAATCCACGTCTGTTTGGTTTTTGGATCCTTTAAAAATTCCACGTTTGTTTGGCCTTTGGATCCTTTAAAAAATCCACGTTTGTTTGGTTTTTGGATCCTTTAAAAAATCCACGTCTGTTTGGCCTTTGGATCCTTTAAAAAATCCACGTTTGTTTGGCCTTTGGATCCTTTGGCCTATATATCCTTTAAAAAATCCTCGCTGAAAGGCCAGAGTCTAAGGTCTGATAATCCTTTGAAAATAATTAATTTGAAGGAATATATAAATGTCCTTAAAGGTTCTTTACAATCCTTTAAAACTTCTCCTTCAAAAAATGTTTTTGGAATCCTGAAAAGTGGCTTTTGGCAGGACTTAGAATCCTTTAAAAATTGTTAATTTTTGAAAGCCTAATAATTATCCTTAAAATCCTTTACTCTCCAACTTTTCTCTCACTTTCCCTCATAAAACTAAAACTACTATCCTCCTTACAGCTACACAAAAATCAATGTATATATTCACATTAAAAATTAACCTCTTCGGTCCATATTATTATTTATCTGTTTTTTTTTCTTCTGTCCAAAGTTCAGATAAATATCCATTAAATTAAGATTAAAATCACAATGACTTGTTTTTGTTGGCATTTTATTACCTCAATGTTAGTGTTGTTGTTGTTTTTGTACTTACATTGAACTCTTAAGTTGACCCGTTTGCTAATGGACGGTGGCACTCCGTTCGATGCAACACACAAATATGCGGCCATGTGCAGGCGACTCACTTTGGTGATGTGCAAATGTTCGCCATCGACCACATTAACTGAAACGAAAGTAGCAGCAAGGAGAACGATTGCAAGGACATCAGACGAGAGGGGTGTATGGTGAATGATAATGGTTGGTTTGGATCATTAAACGATTGCAATTTAAATTTTGATGAACATAATGTTGGACGGTTGGACGGGTTGTTGGACGGTTGTTTGGTATGACCGAGGTTACAATTTTATTTTAATTGAGGTTATGCTTACATTCAATGGACAAGGACTATTTGAGATGGACTGACTCTCATCAGAATAAAATTTTATGCAGCTAAATGACAAGCAACAAAAAATAATGGGGTGAGGGAAATGCGGACAAATGAAGGTAACTGCAATACGACGTTTTTAATGGCTGATCCAACCAAGGAAAAATTTGGTATGGAGGTCGAAATTTCGATTTTTTCGAACTATTTCTAACTTACCATGCTCGCCACCAATTAGCATTTCTTCACCATCCTCACGACGCCACATTACATAGGGCTCCGGATATCCCCGGGCCTTACAGGTCAGTGTTACATTGAGACCTTCCCGAGCCACAACATCATGGCTGGTCATGCCCTCGACTATCATGGGAGGTACTGAAAAAAGGTATTTAAAATTTTCGTCGTATCTTTTCGGCTTCTTAAATCTTGTCCAACTTACCCACAACCTGCAGATAACCCTTTCTCGAACGCATTGGATCCGTATTCACCTGACACATATACCAGCCACGATCACTCTCGTCCACCTCCTTGATGTGCAGATACCACGATCGATGATCATTGTATGTCAAACTTATGCGATTGTTTTGTATGATGACATTGTGATGGATCGAGAGAATTGTCTGGGTGTCTACTCGGACCCAGGCGACCTGAAATATTAAAAATAATAAAATAATACTTATAGTTAATATAAAATAATAAATATATGTTCTGAAGGACAGAAGGATTCTAACCAATTCCGAATTTGGTTTTTTAAGGATTCACAGGCCAAAAAACTTGGATATTTGAGAGGACCCAAGGGCTTAATAAAGGTGGACTCTAAGGTTTTATCATTGTGAAATTTCAGAATAATTGTAAGGCCTGAAAAAAAGGATTTTCAGAAGAATACGAAGGCCTTTTTAGCTTGGATATTTTGAAAGGATCCTAAGGCCTCCTAAATATGGGCATTTAAAAGGTTCTAAAGCTAAGCAAAACAAAGATATTTGAAAGGATCTTTGGAAATATTATAAGGCCTCTGATATTTCAAAGGATCCTATCCTATCCTATTAAACGCATAAATATTTGAAAGGATCCTGACTATCCACACAAGGATTTTTAAAGGATTCTTAGGACATCCAAAAAGTATCTACTATCCACACAAGGATTTTTAAGAATTTTAAGGCCATACAAAATTTGATTTCTTAAAGGAAAGAATAGGCTATCTAAACCTGGATTTTTGGAAGGATTCCTTCTTGAATCTTTTACAGGATCGTTAGGTCATACAAGAAGACGAAGAATTTCAAGTCCTTCATTTCAAAGAATCCTATGACTTAAAAGGCATACAAATTTGAAAGGATCCTGAATATCCACGCAAGGATTTTTAAGAATTTTTTGGCCGTCCAAACTCCTTTTTTATAGGAAAGAAGAGGCTACTCAGACCTGGATTTGTGAAAGAATTCCAAGTCTTTTGGAATCTTTTACAGGATCTTTAGGCCATTCAAACCAGGATTTCTAAAGGATTTTGGGATATATTTCTTTTTTAAAGAATTCCAAGCCTTTCAAAATGTTAATTTTAAAAGGATCCAAAGGACAAATAAACGTGGATTTTTCAAAGGATCCAAAGGCCAAACAAACGTGGATTTTTTAAAGGATCCAAAGGCCAAACAAACGTGGATTTTTTAAAGGATCCAAAGGCCAAACAAACGTGGATTTTTTAAAGGATCCAAAGGCCAAACAAACGTGGATTTTTTAAAGGATCCAAAGGCCAAACAAACGTGGATTTTTTAAAGGATCCAAAAACCAAACAGACGTGGATTTTTAAAGGATCCAAAGGCCAAACAAACGTATATTTTTTAAAGGATCCAAAAACCAAACAGACGTGGATTTTTTAAAGGATCCAAAGGCCAAACAGACGTGGATTTTTTAAAGGATCCAAAAACCAAACAGACGTGGATTTTTTAAAGGATCCAAAGGCCAAACAAACGTGGATTTTTTAAAGGATCCAAAAACCAAACAGACGTGGATTTTTAAAGGATCCAAAGGCCAAACAAACGTGGATTTTTTAAAGGATCCAAAGGCCAAATAAACGTGAATCTTTTAAAGGATCCAAAGGCCAAACAAACGTGGATTTTTTAAAGGATCCAAAGGCCAAACAAACGTGGATTTTTTAAAGGATCCAAAGGCCAAACAGACGTGGATTTTTTAAAGGATCCAAAGGCCAAACAGGCGTGGATTTTTTAAAGGATCCAAAGGCCAAACAAACGTGGATTTTTTAAAGGATCCAAAGTCAAAACAAACGTGGATTTTTTAAAGGATCCAAAGTCAAAACAAACGTGGATTTTTTAAAGGATCCAAAGTCAAAACAAACGTGGATTTTTTAAAGGATCCAAAGGCCACATAAATCTGCAAGAATTCTTAGGTCATGCAAACATGGAGTTTTCAAGAATTCTTAGGTCATCCAAGCATGGATTTTTAAGGATTCTTAGGTCATCCAAACATGGATTTTTTAAGGATTCTTAGGCCATCCAAACATGGATTTTTTAAGGATTCTTAGGCCATCCAAACGCGATTTTTTAAGGATTCTTAGGCCATCCAAACGCGATTTTTGAAGAATTTTTGAAGCCTTCAACGTGGATTTCTATAAGGATTTTCAGGCTATCCAAACATGTATTTCTTAAAGGATTTCATGGGCTTCCAAACAATGGATTTTTTATAGGGTTCTTAGGCCATCCAAACGTGGATTCATAGGATATGCAAACGAAGATTTTTTTAAGGATTCTTAGGCCATACAAGGATTATTAGGCTATTCAAAAGTAGATTTTTGGCCATACATACGATTCTAAGGCATTTCAAAAGTTGTATTTTTAAAGGATTAAACATTGATATTTCTGAGGATTTAGAGGTTATACAAAGATGATTTTTTGAAGGATTCAATGTTTATCCCAAGCTAACTTTTTTTGAAGATTTTTCCAACATTGGGTTTCAAAGGACTCTGGGCTCATTTATGAAAAGAGGATTTTCAGTGGATTGTTATTACTTCCACTCATGGATTTGTTTAAGACTTCTTAGTCTTTCTTAATATGGACATTTTGTCACTTTTATAGTCTTCCAAATATGGATTATTTCAAAGGATTCCAGCGACCTTCTAAGGTGGATTTTTTAAAAAATCCCAAGGACATTCTAAATTAGGATTTTTTAAAGGATTCTAAGGACATTTATAAAGACTTCCAAACGTACATTTTTTAAAGGATTCCAAGGACATTTATAAAGATTTCCAAACGTGGATTTCTTAAAGGATTCAAAAGGCATTTGTAAAGACTTCCAAACATGGATTTTTTAAAGGATTCCAAGGATATTTATAAAGACACGTGGATTTTTTAAAGGTTTCCAAGGACATTTATAAAGGCTTCCAAATGTTGTTTTTTTTTTTTAAGATTCCAAGGACAGAACAGTGTGGCTTGTTTGTTCGGGATACCGTAGTATTTTGTTGTTGCAAAATGGTCAGGCTTATCCCTTTATTGTTGTTTTTATAAAAACAACGTTTGTTTATTAGTGGAGAACGATGGTAATGTTTACCAGGGGGTAAGGCAGGGAATACCTAGGTTTCGGAAACCTGCCTTACCCCCTGGTAAACATTACCATCGTTCTCCACTAATAAACAAACGTTGTTTTTATAAAAACAACAATAAAGGGATAAGCCTGACCATTTTGCAACAACGATTCCAAGGACATTTATAAAGCTTTTGTAACATAAAATGTGTAAGGCTCCTCGTACCTTTGATAAATCTTCATCCCTAAACGATTCCTTGGAAATTCGTAATTTTAAAGGATTCCAAGGACATTTATGAAGACTTACAAACGTGGATTTTTTAAAGGATTCCGAGGACATTTGTAAAGACTTCCAAACGTGGATTTTTAAAGGATTCCAAGGGTTTTTATAAAGACATTCAAAACGTGAATTTTTAAAGGATTCCGAGGAGGTTTATAAAGACTTCCCAACTTGGATTTTTTTAAAGAATTCCAAGGACATTTATGAAGACTTTCAAAACGTAAATTTTTTAAAGGATTCCAGGGACATTTATAAAGACTTTCAAAACGTGGATTTTTTGAGGATTTCAATAACATTTTTTAAAACTTCCAAAATGTGGATTTTTGAAGGATTCCTAGGACATTTATAAAGACTTCCAAACGTGGAATTTTTAAAGGATTCCAAAGGCTTTTATAAGGACTTCAATAAAGTGGATTTTTAAAGGGTTTCAAGGAAATTTATAAAGACTTCCAAACGTGTTTTTTTTTTAAATTCCAAGGACATTTATAAAAACTTTCAAACGTCGATTTTTAAAGAATTCCAAGGAATTCCGTGGATTTTTTAAAGGATTTCAAGGACATTTATAAAGATTCCGTAATATAATTATGTAAGGCTTCTGGTACCTTTGATAAATCTTCTTCCCTAAACGATTCCTAGGAAATTTGTATAGCTGTCCGAATATGAAATTTGTAAGGCTTCTGATACAGCCTCCTTCTCTAAGGATTCCTGGAAATATTAATAGCTTTCCGAATTTGAAATTTGTAAGACTTCTGGCGCATTTTATAAATCCTCCTTTATAAAAAAATTAATAGGAAGTTCGTAAAGCTTTCCGAATGTAAAATTTATAAGACATCTGTTGCCTTTGTCAAATCCTTCTAAAAGAGGATCTTTTAAAAGATTTAAGGACATTTGAAGAGACCTTCAATCGAGGATTTTTCTAATGATTTAATAAGATTTTCTTAAGGAACATTTTTAAGTATTTTAGGACCTTTTGAGAGGCCTTCCAGATGAGGGTTTTGTAAATCATTTTACGGCCATTCGTAAGGTCTAACAAATGTGGATTGTTTGAAAGTTTCTACAGCCTTTAAAATGGCCTTCCAAATTCCAATTTTTCATAAAATATTGAGGCCAAGTACTTCCTTATGGAAATCGAGTCCGAATTCCTTCATTCGTTGGTTTTAAGATTAAAACTCTTAGCCGTTTTTGACCCCGGAATCAAATATCCAAATCTAATCTGACCAGTTTAATACAATTATTTATCCATTGGCCGTCTCCTAATTTCCCTTGTAATTTATTTGTCAGATTTGTAACCTGCCTGCCAACATAGAAAATTTGATATAAACCACAAGCATTAACACAATATGCCACAAAGTATTATGACTTTGGCAACATTTGCGGATACAAATCGATGTCATTTAAAATGAATATGGATTGATGCATTTCATATGCAAGCTTTTCGATACAAGTTTTGGTAGCAGGCAACAACTATGTGTGTGTCCTTGGTTCTCCCATATTTCTACCGAAACTAGCACATTTCATCGGTAATCTTGAATAATTAATAACTGAGAAGATGTGTTCGATGATGCCTACTTCCAATTGGGAATTCTTGCACTTTTCATTTTGCATTATTAAACATGACAAGGAGAAAGTTCGGAACTTTTCGTTTGTCTTTGCAGGGCAAATAATGGTGTGGGGGCAGGATAGGAATCGCATGGATTCGGCTGACTATATTTGAAAAGGGTGGTTGTGGTGTTACTTTCTAATGATACTAAATGGCAGTAGGTGATTGATTTTGCACCTATTTTCTTACGAGAAATTATCCACGTCACCGCAGAATTTTCAAAATTTTGTTTTCGAAAAAGTTTTTCCCACTAAAAGTTTTTGAATATTTAATTTAGTTCAGGTTTCCACGCAAGTTGAGGAGTTTGTTTCATAAATCATTGATAATTACCTTGTAATTTTTAAGATTTTCCACCACACATGCCAGCAGAGCATCACGGCCCAGGGAGACCGTAACATTGGCCACGGGTTCAGCAAATCTGGGCATATCATCATCTATGGGAAAATGTTTTTAATTTAAAATGTGTTTTTTTTCTTTTTTAATCTCAGAAATTTAAAAGTTATCAGGAAGTAGGCCACCTTACCTTCAACAGAAGCTCGTGATTTGTCGTTGGAATGTGAGTGTTTTCCTGAAAATAAACAAAAAAGAGAAGGTAATCAATTAAAAACTTGAAAAATTATTAAAATTTTTTAAAAAATAATTTTTCAAGGACCATTAAGACGTAGACTTTTTAAAGAATATATTTTCAAGGATCCAAGAAACGTGGATTTCTTAAACAATATTTTTTCAAGAACACAAAAAACATAGATTTTTTAAAAATATTTTTTTCAAGGGTTGATTTTTTTAAAGAATATTTTTTTTCAAGGATACAAGAAACGTGGATTTTTTAAAAAATATTTTTTTTCAAGGATACAAGAAACGTGGATTTTTAAAGAATATTTTTTTCAAGGATACAAGAAACGTGGATTTCTTGAACAATATTTTTTCAAGAACACAAAAAACATAGATTTTTTAAAAATATTTTTTTCAAGGATTCACGAAACGTGGATTTTTTTAAGAATATATATATTTTTCAAGGGTACAAGAAACGTTGATTTTTTAAAGAATATTTTAAGGATCCAAAAAACGTGGATTTTTTAAAGAATATTTCTTCAAAGACCAAGAAACGTGGTTTCCTTAAAGAATATTTTTTTCAAGGACCAAAAGACCAAAAAACGTGGATTTTTAAAGAACATTTTTTCAACGACCATCAGTTGAAGAAACGTGGATTTTTTAAAGAATATTTTTTCAACGACCATCAGTTGAAGAAACTTGGATTTTTTAAAGAATATTTTTTCAACGACCATTAGTTGAAGAAACGTGGATTTTTTAAAGAATATTTTTTCAAGGACCATCAGTTGAAGAAACGTGGATTTTTAAAGAATATTTTTTCAAGGACCATCAGTTGAAGAAACGTGGATTTTTTAAAGAATATTTTTTCAAGGACCAAAAGACCAAGAAACGTGGATTTTTCAAAGAATATTTTTTCAAGGACCAAAAGACCAAGAAACATGGATTTTTTAAAGAATATTTTTTCAAGGACCAAAAGCCAAAGAAACGTGGATTTTTCAAAGAATATTTTTTCAAGGACCAAAAGACCAAGAAACATGGATTTTTTAAAGAATATTTTTTCAAGGACCAATAAGACGTGGATTTTTTAAAGAATATTTTTTCAAGGACCAATAAGACGTGGATTTTTTAAAGAATATTTTTTCAAGGATCAATAAGACGTGGATTTTTTAAAGAATATTTTTTCAAGGACCAATAAGACGTGGATTTTTTAAAGAATATTTTTTCAAGGGCCAATAAGACGTGGATTTTTTAAAGAATATTTTTTCAAGGACCAATAAGACGTGGATTTTTTAAAGAATATTTTTTCAAGGACCAATAAGACGTGGATTTTTTAAAGAATATTTTTTCAAGGACCAAAAGACCAAGAAACGTGGATTTTTTAAAGAATATTTTTTCAAGGACCAAAAGACCAAGTAACGTGGATTTTTTAAAGAATATTTTTTCAAGGACCAAAAGACCAAGAAACGTGGATTTTTTAAAGAATATTTTTTCAAGGACCAAAAGACCAAGAAACGTGGATTTTTTAAAGAATATTTTTTCAAGGACCAAAAGACCAAGAAACGTGGATTTTTTAAAGAATATTTTTTCAAGGACCAAAAGACCAAGAAACGTGGATTTTTTAAAGAATATTTTGTCAAGGAACAAGAAACGTGGATTTTTTAAAGAATATTTTGTCAAGGAACAAGAAACGTGGATTTTTTAAAGAATATTTTTTTCTAGGATACAAGAAACGTGGATTTTTAAAGAATATTTTTTCAAGGTTACAAGAAGCGTGGATTTTTTAAAGAATATTTTTTTCAAGGATACAAGAAACGTGGATTTTTAAAGAATATTTTTTCATGGAACAAGAAACGTGGATTTTTTAAAGAATATTTTTTCAAGGACCAATAAGACGTGGATTTTTTAAAGAATATTTTTTCAAGGACCAATAAGACGTGGATTTTTTAAAGAATATTTTTTCAAGGATCAATAAGACGTGGATTTTTTAAAGAATATTTTTTTCTAGGATACAAGAAACGTGGATTTTTTAAAGAATATTTTTTTCAAGGACACAAGAAACGTGGATTTTTTAAAGAATATTTTTTTCTAGGATACAAGAAACGTGGATTTTTTAAAGAATATTTTTTTCAAGGATACAAGAAACGTGGATTTTTTTAAAAAATACTTTTTCAATGAACAATAAAATGTGGCTTTTTAAAAAATACTTTTTCAAGGTCCAATATAACGTGGATTTTTTAAAAAATACTTTTTCAAGGAACAATAAAATGTGGATTTTTTAAAAAATATTTTTTCAAGGACCAACAGAAACGTGGATTTTTTAAAAAATATTTTTTTCAAGGATCCAAGGAACGTGGATTTTTTAAAGAATATTTTTTCAAGGATACAAGAAACGTAGATTTTTTAAAGTATATTTTTCAAGGATCCAAGAAACGTGGAATTTTTACAGAATATTGTTTTAAGCATCCAAGAAACGTGGATTTTTTTAAGAATATTTTTTTAAGGACCAACAGAAACGTGGATTTTTTAAAGAATATTTTTTCAAGGACCAACAGAAACGTGGATTTTTTAAAGAATATTTTTTCAAGGACCAACAGAAACGTGGATTTTTGTAAAGAATATTTTTTCAAGGACCAAGAAACGTGGATTTTTTAAAGAATATTTTTTCAAGGACCAAGAAACGTGGATCTTTTAAACAATATTTTTTCAAGGATACAAGAATCGTGGATTTTTAAAGAATATTTTTTCAAGGATACAAGAATCGTGGATTTTTAAAGAATATTTTTTCAAGGACCAACAGAAACGTGGATTTTTTAAAGAATTTTTTTTCAAGGACCAACAGAAACGTGGATTTTTTTAAGAATATTTTTTCAAGGACCATCAGACCAAGAAACGTGGATTTTTTAAAGAATATTTTTTTAAGGATCCCAGAAACGTTGATTTTTTAAGAATATTTTTTCAATGACCAACAGAAACGTGGATTTTTTAAAGAATATTTTTTCAAGGATTCAAGAAACAAGGATTTTTTTAAGAATATTTTTTCAAGGATCCAAGAAACTTGGATTTTTTAAAGAATATTTTTCAAAGACCAAGAAACGTGGATTTTTTAAAGAATATTTTTCAAAGACCAACAAACGTGGATATTTTAAAGAATATTTTTCAAAGACCAAGAAATGTGGATTTTTTAAAGAATATTTTTCAAAGACCAAGAAACGTGGATTTTTTAAAGAATATTTTTCAAAGACCAAGAAACGTGGATTTTTTAAAGAATATTTTTCAAAGACCAAGAACGTGGATTTTTTAAAGAATATTTTTCAAAGACCAAGAAACGTGGATTTTTTAAAGAGTATTTTTCAAAGACCAAGAAACGTGGATTTTTTAAAGAATATTTTTCAAAGACCAAGAAACGTGGATTTTTTAAAGAATATTTTTTCAAGGATACAAGAATCGTGGATTTTTAAAGAATATTTTTTCAAGGATCCAAGAAACGTGGATTTTTTAAAGAATATTTTTTCAAGGACCAAATATCCAAGTAACGTGGATTTTTTAAAGAATATTTTTTCAAGGACCAGAAGACCAAGAAACGTGGATTTTTTAAAGAATATTTTTTCAAGGACCAAAAGACCAAGAAACGTGGATTTTTTAAAGAATATTTTTTCAAGGACCATCAGTTGAAGAAACGTGGATTTTTTAAAGAATATTTTTTTCAAGGACCAAAAGACCAAGAAACGTGGATTTTTTAAAGAATATTTTTTCAAGGACCAAAAGACCAAGAAACGTGGATTTTTTAAAGAATATTTTTTCAAGGACCAAAAGACCAAGAAACGTGGATTTTTTAAAGAATATTTTTTCAAGGGCCATCAGTTGAAGAAACATGGATTTTTAAAGAATAGTTTTTAATGGCCTTCAGTTCAAGAAACGTTGATTTTTTAAGGATATTTTTTTCAAGCATCCAAGAATCGTGGATTTTTTAAAGAATATTTTTTCAACGACCATCAGTTGAAGAAACTTGGATTTTTTAAAGAATATTTTTTTTTTCAAGGACCTTTGGACAAATAGGTTTACTGCCTTCATCCATTTAAATGTTATTAGGTTTAATAAAATAATATTTACAAGAATATTTTAAAGAATAGTTTTTAATGGCCTTCAGTTCAAGAAACATGGATTTTTAAAGAATATTTTTTAATGGCCTTCAGTTCAAGAAACGTTGATTTTTTAAAGAATATTTTTCCAAGGACCATCAGTTGAAGAAACGTGGATTTTTTAAAGAATATTTTTCCAAGGACCATCAGTTGAAGAAACGTGGATTTTTTAAAGAATATTTTTCCAAGGACCATCAGTTGAAGAAACGTGGATTTTTTTAAAGAATATTTTTCCAAGGACCATCAGTTGAAGAAACGTGGATTTTTTAAAGAATATTTTTCCAAGGACCATCAGTTGAAGAAACGTGGATTTTTTAAAGAATATTTTTCCAAGGACCATCAGTTGAAGAAACGTGGATTTTTTAAAGAATATTTTTCCAAGGACCATCAGTTGAAGAAACGTGGATTTTTTAAAGAATATTTTTCCAAGGACCATCAGTTGAAGAAACGTGGATTTTTTAAAGAATATTTTTCCAAGGACCATCAGTTGAAGAAACGTGGATTTTTTAAAGAATATTTTTCCAAGGACCATCAGTTGAAGAAACGTGGATTTTTTAAAGAATATTTTTCCAAGGACCATCAGTTGAAGAAACGTGGATTTTTAAAGAATATTTTTCCAAGGACCATCAGTTGAAGAAACGTGGATTTTTTAAAGAATATTTTTCCAAGGACCATCAGTTGAAGAAACGTGGATTTTTTAAAGAATATTTTTCCAAGGACCATCAGTTGAAGAAACGTGGATTTTTTAAAGAATATTTTTCCAAGGACCATCAGTTGAAGAAACGTGGATTTTTTAAAGAATATTTTTCCAAGGACCATCAGTTGAAGAAACGTGGATTTTTTAAAGAATATTTTTCCAAGGACCATCAGTTGAAGA